ATAAATAATGTGGACAGACAATCATATCCCCAGCTTACAATAAGACAAATGACTGAAATCTTTATCCACGACCATGATAGAAGGACCATACAGGGAATTTCTTATCACATGTATTGTGCACTAAGATTACCAGCTAGAAACAAAATGTCACACTGAAACTTAAAGTAATTCCCGCTGGTGTGTCTCCCGGCAGAAAGAGGAGGAGCGGCTGCGAGCTTCCATCCGCAGAGAGTCCCAGCAGAGGAGGATGAGGGAGAAGCAGCACCAGAGAGGCCTGAGCAGCAGTTACCTGGAGCCCGACCGCTACGATGATGAGGAGGAGGGCGAGGAAGCCATCAGCCTGGCAGCCATCAAGAGCAAATACAAGGGAGGAGGAGGTCTGAGAGGTGCGGACGAATAGACGGTCACATTCTCCTTTTCATTATCTCTCACAAGGGTTTTATGAAGTCACAGAGTTCTAATTAACATCCTCCTCTTTTTCTTTTTTTTCTCGACCCAATCCAGAGGAGCGAGCGAGGATCTACTCATCCGACAGTGATGAAGGCTCTGATGACGACAAGGCCCAGAGGCTGATGAAGGCCAAGAAGCTAGACAGCGATGAGGTGGGTGTAGTGTCCTGTTGGACCGACGGGGGGCAGTGTGGCGCAGTTCATCGGGGAGCTTAAAAAAAACCAGACAATTTGTAACCTTGTTCATGTGAACTGAACAGGAACAAGGAATACTAGTCCTTTTTAATGAGCATGCACTTATTGCTGCACTGACAGCACTGCCAGAAAACAAAATGCAACTGTAACATGACACCTGACTGTACTGAATGTCTGCTGCTGTCAGCATCTGACCGTCATCTGTCCTGTTCTGTTCTGTGCAGGAGGGCGAGGGGTCAGGCAAGAGAAAGGCCGAGGACGACGAGGAGGTAGCCACCAAGAAGGCCAAGAAATATGTGATCAGCGACGAAGAGGAGGAGGAGGAGGAGGAAGAGGAGAAGGAGGAGGAAGAAGAAGAAGAGGAGAAGGAGGAAAAGGAAGAGGGGGAAGAGGATGATGAATAATTCTCTTTTTTTTTTATCATTCCACTGTATTATCAGTGCTCAGCCCACATGGCATATAAACAGCCATATTTTGTTTTGTATATTTTTTTAAGACCTGAGTGTGGGTGAGTGCGATTGTGTGTTTGTTTGCTTGTTTATGTTGTGTACAGAAAAGGTGAGAAATAAAGAAATGGTTGTCTTATGTAACGAAAGATTCCCATGGCTCCCTTTTATTTGTATTATCTTCATTATTATGATTCATAAGCATGACTCACGCTGCTGTGAGTCCGTGAAACGTACTGCGTAGTCCAGTTGACAAACCAAACGGAGGTTAATGGGATAAGTGCAGTAGGTTGATTTGAGAATAAATTGGGTAAATAGCGTAGCGGGGGGGGGGACGAATCTCAACTGGTGTTAAAACAACCAACTAAACCCACTTGACAGCAGAGGCCAGAGAACAGGGGATTTGGGAGCAGTAATACTGCGAGACAAGATCCTCCTCCAGCCCAGGCAGGAAACAGAAGAAGAGGCCTAGCTAGGAGTTACGGGTCTTATAAATACAAGTTGGCATTGGTTCCCACTCCATTTTCTAACTCCTCTCCACACTCATCACCCTGCATCTGCAAACGGACACAACTAGAAGACACAGCTGATAATATTGGTCAGTTGTCCAACAAATCCTTTATTTTAATTGACAGATTTTAGGTATATTTTTGGACTGTTGTATTCCCCTTCATTAGTTATAGATCAATCTATTCAGCACTAATTGGCTGTCTGACATTAAATCCAAATGTGCCAAATGTACCCAAACAAGACAGTCTCCAGCCACGCACTTGGCTTTGTGAGGCTGAGGGTAATGTTACAGGCACAGTGGTGCTTTGAACTAAATGCTAATGTTAGCATGCTAACATGTTGAAGTTGAGCAGGTATAATGTTCACCATGTTCACTGTCTTGGTTTAGCTAGTGAGCGTACTGACACTTTATAGTCCTCTGGGGACCAGACATATCTGAACAAAATGTCATGTCATAAATCCAATAAGATATTCCAGTCGGAGCCACATTGGTGGACCGACAACAGACTGACTGCCATCCATGGAGCCATGCTAACGAATGACTTTATGAGCATATAACGTGTCGCTACTTGTTAAAAAGCACAATAATCTGTAGTGGTTAAAAAATGAATGTATATAAATAATATTTTTTCATATCTCTGCCAGGGGGATCATGCGATCAGTCGTGTGAGTAAGTGTGTGTGTGTGTGTGAGGGGGTGCACCTCTGTGTCCGTACACAGCTAATCTCGCATTCTGCTGGAGCAATTTTCATAATATTTTGGGTGACCAGTTATGGCTGCATGCTCAGGGACCTCTTGTGGTTGTGGTGACTCACTCTTTCTCAAAACACCTTTTTTTGCTTTAAACTGCCATTGATTGCCTGCTGATTCCTCACTCACTACTCTTAACCGGCCCCTGCCCACAGTGGGGGGATAAGAGTTTGCGGTGTGTTTGGCTAACAGATAATGGAATGGATGGTGTGTCTGGGAAGACAGCTTGGTGAGTTTAACTTTGTTTTTGGCAAGATTGTATGACGTTGCTTATACGACGACTTTGAGCTGATTGACCACATACATCGCCGTTTGTTTTTTACTTTAAATAAAGTGTATTTTACAATCCCTTACAGCTCGTTAGAGCTAATTGTGGGTTGTATTCATTCAATCACACAAATAAAGCAGCAGTCGTTGCAGACACACCTTTTTAATTAATTAATTTATTATTTACGAACATGTTTGAAAAGTAAATGGTATCATTGTGGCCTTTTTGTATTTCAGCCAAAACCTGCTTCAAAATTAAAAAACAACAGTGTAATGCAAAACGTACTGTGTGATATGATTGCCAAATATCTAAAAGTAAAAATTGGAGGAATGTTTAGGTGCGTCATTGCTCCAGTTGTTAGAATCAAGTGATGTTGAGCTACAGTGTGAGAGGAGAATGTAGAGAACAACAGGTAACTGATTCAAGTTCATCAGCCAGAATGACGCACAGTGTCACACACACACACACACACAGACACACACACACACAGACACACACACACACACACACACACACACACAGACAGCCAGCGGAGCATTTAACTGGGTTCCTTGAGATAGATAACAACCCTTGTACCTGACCTTTTACCCAGCCCTGTCCAGACAGAGCTAGCTGTAGCTACTCAGAATATAAAACTGGTTAACAAAAACACTAAGTGATTAAGTAAGAGTTACATAAATTGACTGCATTCTGTCTCTTGATAATGACCTCTCTGTGCCACACACACACACTGCATTGTCGTGGCCACAGACTGCTGTTAGTATGGGGAAAAGTATCAAAGACTCCTTGAATACTGTGGTATACACGGTAGAGGCTTGTTATGAGAGAGGTTCTGCAGGACAGCATTGTTTAAAAGAGCCTTTGGTGTTTTCTGAGTGTGTGGCATGCGGCATTTGCTTTTTAAAAATCTACCCAGGACAGGTCTGTGTGCGTGTGCACGTGCTTGTATGTGTATTTTTATGCGGCCCACAGCACTGAGCAGAACATAGCGCATGCTAAGCTATATAAAGCACATACTGTGACTGTTTATGCAAATGTTGTGTGTCTTTGTTGCCTGAAAAGAGAAGGTGTCGTCAGTAGTGGTGTGCCGCGTTATCTCAGACTGCAGTGGGTTATGTAAACCCAATTCCACACAGTAAGGAGTGGAGAAGGGAGGGAACAGGAGGAGAGGAGCGGAGGGGGGGGAGGCACTGCTGCACATACAGTCAGCACTGACTGACGGGGGATGAGGCAGAGGGGAGGGCTGCAGCATTTCACCCTCTTTTTTTAGTTTTCTCCTCCCCCTTTCATCTCTTCTTTCTCACTTTTTTCTCCCAGATACCCCGTTTTCCCACCGTCCAGCCTGAACCTGAACTCTGTGACATCACATTTTCTGTAAAGGAAGCACAGGCAGTGTCAAAGCAAAGCAGAGAGGGTATGTTTTCTATTCCTAGAGCCTTGCAGGCACACACACACACACACACACACACACACACGAACACACGAAAACACGGCTGAGCCACTTGGATAGACTCTGGTGTTGTTCAGGGGTAACTTGGCATCAGTGTTCTTCCAATTAGGCCCGAGGGGAGGCGAGCGGCCGGGTCGGTGTTCGGCCAGGTGCTGGTTGAAGTAAACAGTCTCAGCCTCCTCGTTGTTGGCCTGCACTGAAGCTCTGGTTGCATTCAGATACTACATGTGTACAACTGTTTGGATTAGATCCACAGGTAATATAATATAATATATTCTGTCCTATATCCTCATTCCTTGGTTTCATTCTGGGATTCATCATCTCTTTAACATTACCTTGTTAGTCAAAGTTTGATGTTGAAGACATTTATTGAATCAGAACATCAAACTTTACTAATGTTTTTGTACCTCCTCCCAGTTTAGGGGCAGAACATATTCTACATGACATTTGTTTATTAATGGGGTTTATTAAACATACTATCTTTTTTTGAACTAAACTTACAATATAGTATTTTTTTTCTTCCGTTTCGTTTGTGTCGTTCCCATTTAATTTCACAGACTCTTTTGTTCACTTAATTTAATCCTACCAGTATAACTCTGTGTACCCTGACTGTATTTCATAGCTCGGTGCCCTTTACCCCTGTCTCAGTGTGTCCCTTCCCCCTGCTGCTGCTTATATAAGAGGCTAATAAATAAAATAGAAACACAATACTCCACTCTCTCCACAGGATCTTCCAACACTCACACATGACACTGGCCCAGAGGCTGCAGCGAGGGCCTTAGCAGGAACATTTTCCCTTACGCACAAGCAGGTGTGCATCATTCACACGCACACGCACATCCACACAAACATGACTGTAACAATTGACCTTACCGATTTGGGTCAGCTTGTTCTGCCGTAGGAACGGGCTTAATCTGTAAACAACGGGTTACCTTCAGCTGTGAGCTGCTCTGCACACAGATTACACTCAAGTGTTTCCAAAAACAGACTAAAAAACCAAACAAGCAAGGTGACCCTCTGTGGCACAGCTGTGGCACCTGCATCTATCTATCTACCCTACTGATTTCCTTCTATTACAATGCATGAATAAAAAAAACACAATTTTGGTTTGTCACACTGTGCTTACATGGAAGTACAGGATGGTATTAACAGGCTTGGTGTCTTTTTAAAAGATTTGGCCCATATGGACGACAATATGTGAATCCAAGTTCAGGTTCGCCCACGCACATGACATGGGTTGATAGTCACTAAGCAAATTGAGTCCGTACTTAAGTGAAATGTTGAGATATTTGTACTTAATATTGTGTTACTTTCAACTTCTACTCTACACTTCAGTTGGAGATACTGTACCTTTTACCCCACACCATTTATTTGACAGCCATAGTTACTTGCTACTTTTCAGATTAGGTTTTCTTTTTTCTTTTTTTTAACCTAAAACACCCACACATCAGCTTGTGAAATATATTGTTAAAGATTAAACTCCAAACCTTTTTGACTTTGCCCCTTGCAAGAGAAGCGGTTTCTTGATGGGGCCTGTCGTCATGTTTAAGATGTCTCAGTTGTTTGCACTTCCTTTCAGATGGTTTCATTTAAATAACAGCTTTAGGCCCGGAAGAGGTAATATTATCCAATATTTCACAAAAACAGCAAAGATCAGAGAAAAGTCCAAAATATGAAATATAATTTGTGTATCAGAACTTCTCTTTTACCTCATTAGATGTATCTTGTGACAAACTGGAGGGGCCCAGACCCCTAGGTTGTGTACTACTAGACTGAATTCAACTTTGTATAAAGTAGTTAAAACTAGCACAACCACAACCAACGAATACAGTAAATCAGTTTTAACAATCTAATAATGTCATTCATAAAAACAGAATCAGATCTGAATATGTCCTCCACCACTGGTTGCTCGGGGAGAAATGGTTAACACTAGACATGGAGACCCAGGGGTTATGCCTGCATCTTGTGCAAACAGCTTGACATGGAGGATATCACGTGACATCAGGTGTGACATAAACAGGCCCCAAGTGGGTCAGTCATGTTGACATGTCATATCTTCAGCATTCCTCTGAAGTGTAGCAGGTCATGAAGTGCCTTATTATGACTGCGCTATTCCTTTTATATTTCATAGAAATATTATAGGTGTCTTTATGCATCATTTAATGC